TTAGACCAATATAAAATATCCACTTCTAAACAAAAGTATTTAGATTTCAAGAGAAGGTATTTATAACAGGACATCACAAAGCTATGTAAAGACAACATTACGGCTTTGAAATAGAGGGTCTGATCTTTTTTCTAGAAAGATTAAACACTGCAAGACGCTATGCCAAAGGAAACAATCACAGTTAATTATATAGGTCTGAGCACTTTTATGTGGAAGACATCAATAAACAGGGTTTTGTATAGCTTTTTGAGATGAAGCAGATACAATATATGAAAATACTATTTAAATGCCTTGATAAATACATGGAATACTGAGACTTAGTACCAAAAATGATGGTCTCTTGGGAGTTTCCCCACACTTAAAGAGGAGGAATTGCCTTCTATCTGCAGGTAGAAGTTAACAGTTAAGCAGCAATTAAAACCTGTATGTTTGTTCCTAAGCATATCTAAGCAGACATCAAAGATGGAAATATAATGCACATGAGAGTCAAAAGGTTAACATATTTTATAAATAATATGCTGCCATGTTAACTGCATTGTGTAGAACGAAAACAATTCCTTCTGGCAGGGCAATGGAGAGAGGCATGCTGAATCAGCGCAAGCAGAACAGACAGGCTGAATAACTGCAGAGATGGTGAATGGCTTGGGAAAAGTAAAAATACTACATAGCTCCTGCAAAATGTTCTATGGTGTTTATTACTCTGCATATCTTGTCTCATTGAATTCCTCTCCTACAAAGATTTACTCACGTATCAACTTTAGTCAGTGAGATGATTCATGGTGCAGTACATCCAGTGTAAGTTTAAGGAGTTCAGAGTAAAGGTCTTAAATCAAGGACCACATTGCACTAATTACATTGCCTAGTTTGTAGCACTAAGGTCTTCATCCAAACCTGTGTGTTTGGTTACTGAAGTATCAATAGCTAATTGTCCAAATAAACTTAAATCAGTGCCTGTACTTCCAAACAGGGAAGGAAAAGACAACACAAACACCACCACACTTGCTAACTGGAGTGAAAGAACCAACGGAAAATTATGTACAAAAACAATGTATATGGGTTTTTCCTTAAAAAAAATAATAAAAAAGAGAGTTACCATGGAATCAGAAGACAGTTCAGAAAACTGAAATAGAAAATAATGAATTTGCTATTTTGCAACTTTTGAATCTCAACTGCTATCATTTTTCGGACAAATCAGTGCTATGGCAAAGAAAACGTTTAGTTGCAATATTTCTCTCTTGATAGTATTAGGAATTTTCTAAGCCAACTACAATTCTGTATTTTATCTTTTAATTGCTTTTAAAGTCTACCCGCAATATCAATTGTATTGTCTCCTTTAAATAAGGAATGGTAAAAATAGAAGACACAACAGTCCTATTGTTACTCTAGTTTCTCCCAAGGAGGGCTGTATGTCAACCACAGCTGAACCAACTACTATCCATTCAGAAAATAAAGCATAATAATTCAAAAGTTAAACCGTGCTAAAATCACCACTATACTGATTCTTCAGTGTGTACCTTCACAAACCTTCAACCCATTATTCGTCACATTTTGATTAACAGAAGGCAAAAGTGACCATGTTCTGGCTAGCTGGCAAATGCATGGGGAGGATGGAGTAGGAGCTGTCATTAATTTAGACAGCATAAGGAGTATCACAAATCACTACCGCAGAACATGCTTTAGAAGAAGCCTACAGAAGAAAATCCCAGCATTCTGAACTCTTGGTATAACCAACTGGAAGAACAATCCAGACATAATGCAACTGAAGTCAAGAGAATAAAGCTTAACAATACGAGTACATTTTAGCATTACAGCTAACATTGAGATAGATATAGGGAGTAACATCAGTAGGAAAAAAGCTGCTGTGTGGCCAAGCATTTGGTTTTTTGAAGACTGCAGATTTACCAGATTATCTCCAGCAACAAAGAGATCAGAGGCCATCTGATGATACATTTATCATAAAAGTAACAATATTTTTAAAAAATGTCACCACATTGAAGATTTTTTTTATTCGTGCAGAAATTTACAGTCTAGGTTTTCTGTCAGCGTGAGGTTGCCACTGACTTCATTATGGCAAGTAGATGTTTAATAACTGTTTTTCAAATCGTGTCACTTCAGTAAGTGACTGCTCAAGCAACACACTAAAAGACTGCATACTAAGACAAGTAATTATTAGTTTTGTTTTTTCATATTTATTCTAACAGCAACTCTGACAAGACCCAGTCGAGCGTTCGGTAGGACAGCTACTTAGTACAGGACCACAGCAACTGATGTCCTGGCAATAACAGGCAAGCTATTACAGAAAGCTGTAAAATAGCAAACTGACAAGATGTAGCTATGGACATAACTTAAACTGAATTTACACATTAGTTCTGCTCAAAAACATAACTACAAAAAAATAGGAGAGGTAAAGTCAAATTGTATTTGACAAGCAAATTACTTTGCTTGTCAGGAAAAATGCTAAGTATTTAAAGGATTTAAGTCTTTAGAGCACCAAAGTCTGCCAGAAAGTTCAACATATTATCTTCAAAGTTACTCAGAAGAATGAAAGTGTTTGAAAAATGCATTATGAAGCCAGAATACCTATTATGACAGGTGCTACACAGGGCAGCTACAGGACACAATTAGAATTGTTCTACTGGAAGAACTGTTGCTAAACAGTGCCAAGACAGAAAATTTATGGGGCCTAATTGAATAGGAAATATGGAAAAAGCCTATAAAAGACAAAGGGGGTTTTGTGTATTTTCAAGATTATATTTGGAAACACAAGGAGGACTGACTCAGTTCATGATCTTGGCATACTAGGCATGAGAATTTCACTGTAAAGGTTCAACATCCTAATACCATTCAGAATATATTTCTAGGTATTTCCTTAAAAGAATGCCTTTACATTAAAATATGTATAGCATATTAAGTGGCCTCTGCCTGCTAAAATTTGACAAATGCATAAGGATTGACTTTCAAGTAAAGTTTGCCCTGTGCACTCAGAGTAATAGTTATAATTTCCAAGACATTTTCATGTAATCTAGTGATTTTATTTAAATAAATCTTGAAAAGCATTTTTACATTAAGAACATATAAAAAAACCTCTGCCACATAATTTCATTTTTTAATGGAAATTTCTGTCATTCTGTAATTTATGCATTAAACCGATATGAATAAAGGGATTAAAAACAATAAAACCTCACCATTTGACAGACCACTATCCACTGCCTTCAAGTGTACTAAAAGTACGATGAATCCCAGGCAACCACACTGAGATGCAATCAAGACACTGCTTATACTGGATAAATCCAAATTCCTTTATTAAGGAAAAAAAACCAAAACTGTAAGTCATACAGATGCAATCTTAGAGTCAAGAGAAGCAGCCAACCATTCTCTCTCACAAATACATAATCAAATAACTTGGTCTAAGAGCTCTGACCCTTGTATACATTTGGATCTGCAGCAATACTTGCTCCTGATAGAACAATACATCACAATTCTCAGTGTGACCACCTAGGTATTGGAAACAAAAGAAAATCCTATTTATTCCCTCCTAATGACTTAACTATTAGAATCAAATTAAACTGAAAAGCTATTTTCTGCATCCTTCACTAAGAGATCCTAATTTGATTTTAAAGTATGCGCTTTGTGTTAAGTTGCAATCCATTAACAATACTTTTAGTCTTCTGCATACTCACTCTTTCCTGTTACCCAGGAAAACAACTGTCCATCACTAGCAATAAAGATAACAGAATAGTAGAGGCATTTCAGCCCCTCAGAACCTCTACAGATGATTCATCTACGGGTTACGCCCCAAAATGTGAAATAGTGAAGCTTCATCTTGATCATCACTACACGCAACGTGAGAACAGTTATGTGTGACCTCCACAAGTAAGAGATGAATGAAAACTGGTTTCTTCCAACTTCACTCCATAAACCCAATATGTAACCAAAAATTATTTACACCAACTGCATTTGGAGGTCTTGATTACTCAAAAATCCTTCTGAATTAAATTCAGATCCTAAATATTTGGCTCCTTCTTACCCTTCCATTCACCACTTCTCACACTGTTTCTGTTCTCTGTTCACTATGTTTCCTGTACTGAACCTAATAATTTCTTACATGAAAGCTGTGGGCTCTCTTCATACCTCTTTTTATGCTACCTAGGTACTTAAAATTGTTTCCTCACTGCCCTTATTAAGGAAGCCAGGGACACTTCAATTGTTTTACATGATAGCAACTCTGTTACTCCAAGTTTACTGGAAAAAGTCTTCGAAAGTGGTCAGAGATACAAATTACGATTTCACAAAGCTGAAAGGATACAAGAATATTAGGCATATAGCATTACATATCCATTACACATAACAAATGAAGAAAAGTAAACTGGTTTGGCCACTAGTTAACTAACTTCCCCTTTTAATTAACTGTTTAATTTAACAGTTGTTCACAACACAGATTATAAACACCACCTTAAAGCCATTTCCAAAAGGGTGAACTAGGACTTCATGGTATGATACAACAGCCATAGACACCAGGGAATCCACTAAGAGTATCATGGTTGTCTAAAACTCAAACCCATAAAATATTAAATATTATTGGACCACAAACTTCAGGATGAGAATGAGATTTTTTTTGTTGTTTCAGAGGAGTTGATTCTTCAGTACTTTTCCTGATCTTTTCCTTCCTCCGCTCCTGCACAATAGCTCCATCATCCTCCTCCCAATTTTATCATCTTCCTTAACTCTTCCTTTTTATTGCCTACATTCACAGGAAGTGTATCAAACTGAATACTTTCCTGATAGCATTTCTAAAAACCTACCTCCTTCCTGTTCTTGGAAATGCACTTATGGTTCCTGACTGCCAGCCTCCTTGACAGGCATTGTTCGAAACTGTAATCTAAATCATCCCATTGTCATCTCTCACTTCTGCAGTTTTTCTAAAACACAAACACCTTTCCCTCCCTCCCTGGCTCACTTTTGTCCACCTTCTACATCAAACTGAAACTGCTCATCCTCACCTTCCAGGTTGCACAAGTTCTGCCCCTGCCTCACACAGTTTATATCTCCACCACTTGCCTGATGATAGCCTGCATTTCGCTAAATCCTCTTTCCTTAGAGGTGACCTGGAAAGGAGAAAAACACCAGGGTTTTGGGTTTTTTTTCGCTGCTTCATGATGAAACTTGACAGGTTCATCACCAGAAGCCTGATTCCTCTCGGGTCCCCACCTTCTGAGACACCAGGCTATCACAGCTCCTGCAGTAGCAGGCAATCAATATGTTTATGTTGCTTATAGGCGCGGGTCCTGAGGGCTTCCTGGATGACTCAAAATTATATATAACGAATCTTAAGCCCTCAGAACAGGGCGAAAGTACTACATATTCAAATAAAAGCATGAAGAGAAAACAAGTGTCATAAAAATAATTTAAGAGCTAGTGCCTTTCCTCCTCTACGTTTAAGTCCAAGTACTTTTTAGATTGTACTTTTTTAGCAACAGTCCAAAAGGCAATTATAGGCTTTCTTCAAAGGTCACAGAACCAGCAACAAAACGCGCACGGCCAGCTGAGCCCTGCTCGTCTTTCGGTGCCGTATTTTACGCGCAGGTCACCGCGCTCCGTGCCCGCAGCCCCCCCCGACCCCGCTCCTCCTGCCCAGCGCCGCCGTCCTTCCGCACCCCGCGCACCTTCCGCGCAGTTACCACCCACCTTCCGCGGCTCTTCCCGCGCCAGCCAACTTTCCCAGAAGCCAAAAAGCGAAACCGGACCCGCGACACCGGCC